CAAACTTAACCTCTGGGGACAGTTTCCAAACTGGATTCTGCCTGTGAGGAGGGCTCTTCCTCACCTTGATCTCCTAGGCCACAAACAAACCCCTTTATGAAAACCACTGCCTTCTTTATATAGTAACGCAGGCCTATGAAGGCCGGGGCAGAGTGGTGATCCCTGCCTAACGAAAGAGGGCTCAGCATTGGTTTCCTGGGACCACATCTGTTGCTTTTCCTGAGCTAATATCAGAGCAACCTGCCAGGAGTTATAGTTTCTACTCCTCTGCAGACCACAAAAGTTTTGCCACAGTTGAAGAAGTGGGATTTTAAAAGCCTTAGTTTATTTCCTGTGAGATGATAGATGCCAGAAAGGGACACAGGCTTGGATTAAACCAAGACATTACCAAAAAAGGAAACTGTGCTGTTTTGGGTGGCTCACTCGAATACAGGTTCCTGCTTCTATCAAGAGGCTATAATCGCTGCAGCTGCTGGATTGTCTATTCACACCATTCTGGGTTGCTGTGAGTTTTCCAGGCTGTATAACCATGTTCCAGAAGCATTCTCTCCTGACATTTCACCCACATCTATGGCAGGCAACCTCAGAGGTTGTGAAGTCTGTTGGAAACTAGGCAAGTGGAGTTTTTATATCTGTGCAATGTCCAGGGTGGGAGAAAGAACTCTTGTCTGCCTGAGTCAAGGGTGAATGTTTCAGTTGACTAGCTTGATTAGCATTAAATAGCCTGGTAGCTTCAAAACCTGGCTGTTTCCTGCTTGGGGGAATATTTTGTTGAGAAGTCTTAACTGGCCCGGTAGTTTCTTGTCTGAAATTCCTCTGTCTTTTGAATGTTGTTCCTTATTTACTGTCCTGATACACCTCCCAAAATAAAGGATTCCCCCAGGCAGGAAACAGCCAGGCTTTGGAGCTGCAAGGCTATTCAGTGCTAATCAAGCTGGCCAGTTGCAACATTCACACTTGCCTCAGGTAGACAAGGGTTCTTTCTCCCAGTGTTTTAAAATGTTCATCTTTGCAATTGGCCCTGCCTATTGTGATTATTTTCAGGGTTTTAATGTCCTGATTTTATATTGTTGCACTGTTTATTTATATTGGTTTTTGTATATTGTGATATTTTATTTTCTTATTTTTTGTTGTGTTCTTGTATTATATTGTTTTACTGTATTATTGGGCATGGCCTCATGTAAGCCGACCCGGAGTCCCCTTGGGGAGATGGTGGCGGGGGTATAAAGTTTATTATTATTATTATTATTATTATTATTATTATTATTATTATTATTAAAATATTCAAATTTTAAATGTTTATTCTTGAATTGGCCCTGCTTAGTGACATTTTTCTATGTTTTGATGTTTGATTTTATATTGCTGTATTGTCTATTATATAGGTTTTTGCATTTTACGTATTTTATTTTTGGTTTTGTTATGTTTTTGTGTAATACTGTGTTTATTGTATAGATGGGCGTGTCCTAATGTAAGCAGTGGGGGGGGGAGATGGAGTGGAGTATAAATAAAGTTTATTATGATTATTATTATTATTATTATTAGGAGCTGCAAGGCTATTTAGTGCTAATCAAGCTGGCCACTTGCAACATCCACACTTGCCTCCAACAGACAAGAGTTCTTTCTCCCACAGAGATATAAACCTCACTTGCCTAGTTTCAAACAGACCTCACAACCTCTGAGGATGCCTGCTATAGATGTGGGTGAAACGTCAGGAGAGAATGCTTCTGGAGCATGGCCATACAGTCCGGAAAACTCACAACAACCCAGTGATTTCAAGCCTTCGACTATACATTAACACTGTCTTGTTGGATTGGAACTTTTGGTGGGCTGGCCAAAAGTAAACCTCACAGCGCCATCTACAGGCGCAAGGTGGGAAAGGACTTGTTTTTTGTGCAGATTTTTTTGTTTTTGGCCTTTGGTTCCGCTTTGGCCAATGGGTTCCCTTCCCACCTGTCTCCAGAGCAGGGCCTCCACCTGCTTTGCCAAGAATAAGGGCCAAGGAAGAAGGGGGCTCAAAGTGAGTAACACAAACATGGAATGTGTGCAATCGATAAATGAAAGGGAAGGGAAGGAAGGACATAAACATATCGCAATAGTCCCCACCACCGCTCCCGACCCCAGTGAATCGCGAGGTCTACTATGACAACCCGTGTCGTCCCATCGACTGCAGGCAGAGGGGTCTATGTACCAGAGTCCGTGGCAGTTCCGGTTCTGACCCAGTCAGGTGCGACCCTCCTCGGAGAACTGACATGTTGTTGTGGTCGCTGTTCTTGCTGCTGCTGCTGTTGCTGGCAGTCCTCCTTTAGCTTCGCAGGCAGCAAGGCTTCCCTTGCCAGTTAGGAAAGACTCGAACCGCCGAGTTCAAAGGCTTCTCTAAACGAAGAGGCGAAGAGAAAGAGAGAGAGAGAAACATCACAGCTTCTGCGCCGGTGTGATTTACGACACGGAGGGAAAGAGGATTCTGGCCTCAACTGGCTATCAAACAAAAGCGGTGAGTTTGTGGCAGATCCTAAGTGGAGAGGTGGGGATCCGGGGAGGCAGCGTGGGGGACTTGCTGCTCCTTCCTGGGCCTCTCTCTCTCTCTCTCTCAGCCCTCAACCTCAGGGTCTGAAAGAGAGACTAGACCGACTTTTCAAACACTATAATGATAGGTTGTTGTATGTTTTCTCCACTCTATGGCCATGTTCCAGAAGCATTCCCTCCTGACGTTATGCCTGCCTCTATGGCAAACATTCTCGGATGTTGTGAGGTCTCACAATCTCTGAGAATGCCTACCATAGGTGCAGGCAAACCGTCAGGAGATAATGCTTCTGGAACATGGCCATACAGCCTGGAAAACTCACAACAGCCCTGTCAGCATATAGATTTAAAGGAGCCATCTAATGCTGGGTTTTGCTGTGCGATTTACATGCCATGTAACCTTACTTTCTGGATAATCCTCCTATCTATCTATCTATCTATCTATCTATCTATCTATCTATCTATCTATCTAGATAGATAGATAGATAGATAGATAGATAGATAGATAGATAGATAGATACAAAGCTATCTATAATGATAGATATAAAACTATATTTTTAAAAAAGGGGAGGAAAACAACCACCAACAACAGCAGCCAATAAAACAACAGCCAAAAGATTATTTTCTTCGTTTCAGGAGTGACTTGAGAAACTGCACGTTCCTTTTGGTGTGAGACATTTGGCCGTCTGCAAGGACGTTGCCCAGGGGAATATGGCCACATAGTTTGAAAAATTCACGGCAACCTCCCTCTGTTTGCCTTGCCTTGCCATCCAACATGGCATTAGCGGACTGAAAACCTGCAAGTCGCTTTTGGTGTGAGAGAATTGGCAGTCTGCAAGGACGTTGCCCAGGGAAATATGACCACATAGTTCGAAAAACTCTCAGCAACCCTCCCTCTATTGCCAGGTCTTGCCATGTCTTGCCATCTAACATGGCAGGAGTGGCTTGAGAAACTGTAAGTGGGTTCTGGTGTGAGAGAATTGGCCGTCTGCAAGGACGTTGCCCAGGTAGATATGGACATACAGTTCGAAAAACTCACGGCAACCTCCCTCTGTTTGCCTTGCCTTGCCATCCAACATGGCATTAGCGGACTGAAAACCTGCAAGTCGCTTTTGGTGTGAGAGAATTGGCAGTCTGCAAGGACGTTGCCCAGGGAAATATGACCACATAGTTCGAAAAACTCTCAGCAACCCTCCCTCTGTTTGTCTTGCTTTGCCATCCAACATGGCAGGAGCGGCTTGAGAAACGTCAAGTCACTTCTGGTGTGAGATAATTGGCCGTCTGCAAGGACGTTGCCCAGAGGATGTGTTACCATCCTGTGGAGGCTTCTCTCATGTCTCCTGAAGATCAACAGAGGGAGGGAAACAGCAAGGTGGGGTTCTAAACATTGATTTTGAAACGGAGAGAGGGGAGTCGGAAAACAGTAAAATGGGGTTCTAAACATTGCTTCTGAAACGGGCAGAATAGACACGAACACGCGGGGAGCGCTGAGAAAGCCCAGACACAGGGAAAGCCGAAGCTGAACTATGTGGGAAGTTTATGGATTGAGAAGTCAAGCGGCTAAACGGCTTGTACAGGCGGGTCAAGCGGCGTCAGGCCTGCGAGGGCTGCCTACAAAGTGGCTCCTCGGTCTCCCCGCCTCCCGGTTTTGCCCCTCCGTTTCCCTGGAAGTCCTCCCAGAAATCCCTTCCGAGCCCAAACCCGAACCAAGGCCCACTCGAGAGGGAAACAACCAAACCGGGGAGAAGGAGAGAAAGAGAGAGAGACTTCGATCCGGAGCGTTTCCCTGGCAGGTGAAGGCCTTCCATAGCGGCAGAGGAAACCACACACACAAACACAGAGACACACACCCCTAGTAAACAAAAACAAACCCAAAGGCGTGTTTACCGGCTCGGTCCAGGCCCAGGAAAACAAAGCGCCGGGCAGGTAGCGATCCCCTCCCGCCTTTCTTTCGGAGTTGCGGCTCCTCTCGTCGAGTTTCGTCCCGCCGCTCCTCTTTTTTTCCCCCTCCCTCCCTCCTCCTTCATCTCCTTCTTCTTCTTTTTTGGGGAGGGAGGAGGAATGACAGGCCGGCGGGGGCCGGGGCAAAGCAGCGCGTTGGCGAATCCGAGAGTGTTGGAATCTATTGCCTTTGTCTGACAAGTCATCCATCTCTCTCTCCGCCGGGCGAGGGAGGGAGGGAGGAGGGAGGGGTGGAGGTGCGCGTGTGCCTGGAAGAAGGAAGGAGGGAGAGAGGGAGGGAGGGAGGGAGGGAGGGGGGAAAGGGAGGGCTCGGGGTGCGAGCTGGAGGGGGCTTTGCTGCTTTTAGAGAGGCACGCACGGGCGGAGGGAGCTCCATTCTCCAGGCACAGCTCGTGGCAAGCGCATCCTTCCGCAAAACAAACGAAAGAGGGAAAGAAAGAGGCGGGTGGGGGGAGGAAGAGGAAAAGGGGGAAACGGAGGCCGAAGTCGGGAAAGGGAGCCGAGCCGAGCCGCCTAACTTGGCCGAAGGAGCCGGAACCGCGATGCCTCCTCGCCGCCGCCCCACCTGCCCGCGGGGAGGACCCTGAGAGGGGGAAAGTCCCGTCCCAGCAGCACCAGCCGAAAGAGAGAGAGAGAGAGAGCCCTTCTTCGCCTCTCTTCCTGGCCCTCCTTCGGCCCCATTCTGCCCCAAGTCCCGAAGTTGCACCTCGGCAGCGACAACACGGCGGCGTCAGCCGACTTCTTCCCCTTCCTCTGCCTGCCCATGGATATGCACTGCAAAGCAGACCCCTTCTCCGCGATGCACCGTGAGTACCGGCCCCCGCAAGCCCCCCTTTGCCCCTCAGCCCCCCTCCCTAGCCCCTTCACCCCCCTTTTCTGCCGTCCTCGCTTCGGTCTCAGGCCTGAGTTCCGAGTCAGTCGTGGGAGAAAACGAAAGCGAGGCTTCCCGACACCCGGAAGGCAGCGGCAGAACCACATCTCAAAGCCCGATATTACTCTTCCTCTTCAGTGTAGTCCTCCAGCTTTGAAGTCTAAGCTTTCAGGGGTGTTGTTGTTGTTGTTGTTGTGCGGTTTCCGGGCTCGCTCTGAGCCTGGCTGGCATCTTCTTCTTTAGCACTTCCATGAAGCGCGTTAGAAACCGGGGAGGAAGAAGCAAAAAATGTCATTCTTCTCCTTCTCCTCCTTTATCTTCTTCTCGGGAGTTTGGGTTGTGAATCCTTCTCCCTTCGCGTTTCCCTCCCTTTCCTCAGGCCTCTCTATCTCAGCCCCCTTCCACACAGTTGAATAAAACCTCACATTATTATTTGAACTGGGATATATAGCAGTGTGGACTCGGATAACCCAGTTCAAGACATATATTGTGGGATTTTCAGCGTTGCTCTTCTGGGATATAGGTCTGTGTAGCCGGAGAATGGCCTCCTTCCTTCGCTAACGAGACCCACTTCGTATCAAGGATTTTGGGAGGACGGACGGCGGCCACTCTACCCCAGCAACCCTCCTCCCTTTTCACTTTGCCCTTAGTGGGGAGACTGGGAAGGACCGACGGGGAGCGGGAGGGAAGGAGTTAGGGCAATCCTAAGGACATCTTCCCACCCAAAGCCAAGCCTTTCCCACCCTTCGCCTTTTCGGGATCGTATGTCCAAGGTAACACAAAGCAAAACAAAGCGCCACTTCCAGGGAAAGAAATAGAAATTCGTGCGCTTGTTTTTGAGACAAGGAAAAGCGCAAAGCATCCCGTTTACATGGAAAAAAAGGTTGTTTCTAAATAATTCTCTATGGTTTTATCATTTTGAAAAGGAGTTTTGGCCATTTAAGTGCACTTTTGGGGGGATCAAATACGGGTAATTGGATGTGAACATGTTTCAAGAGGCCGGGTTTCTCCTTAGAGCTAGAACCACGGAAAACTAACCGGGTGGCTTGAGTCTTCTCTCTGTTTTGGGCTGCTTTCGAAACGGAGAGATTCCGCCTACTCCGAGAGGCATTGAGTGCCACATAATGTAGTTTCCATCATTCAGGTTAATCGCATTGAGCAGGAGACTGTGAACCTTCACTGCCATACAATGCCGTTCAATGCACTTCAAACTCTATTCTGAAATTGCAGAAATTATATGTAGATGGGGCACATTTAATATAACGGAGGGACAGGGGTCCCCCAACTATACTGTCATATAATGCTGCTTTATATAAGTCTAAACTGCCATACAATGCCGTTCAATGCATTTCAAACTCTATTCTGAAACGGCATTATATGACTTTATGTAGTTAGAGCACATCTATCCTGAAATGGCATTACATGATATTATGTAGTACCCATTTAATATAAAGGAAGGGTTGGGGTACACATCTATCCTGCCCTATAATGCAAGTTGAACTGCGTTATATAAGTCTACACTGCCATATACTGCAGTTCAATTTGTTTACACTCTCTGCATTATATTACCCCTTCCACACAGCCCTATAACCCAGCATAGCAAGGCAGAAAAACCCACAAGATCTGATCTGAACTGGGTTATCTGAGTGAGTCCACACTGCCATATATTCCGATTCAAAGCACATAATGTGGGATTTTATTCAGCTGTGTGGAAGGGGCCGTAGATGAGGCCCCAGACACAAAACACGCATTTCATATAAGGGAAGGACATCACACACATTTAATATAAAAGGACAGGGTCCCCATCTATACAGACTCATACAGTTATATGGGTCTAGGGGCCCTTCCAGACAGCCCTATGTCCCAGAATATCAAAGCAGAAAATCCCACATTATCAGGTAACTCAGTTCAAAGCAGATATTGTGGGATTTTCTGCCTTGATGTTCTGGGATACAGGATTGTATGAAAGGATCCTGGGTTAACTGAGTCCACACTCAGATAATGTGGGATTTTTTTACCTTGATATTCTGGGATATAAGTCTGCATGGAAGGGCCCTAGACTGCCCTATAATACAGTTTCCATATACAGTTGCATTGAACAGCATTGTATGAGTCTGGACTGCCATATAATAGAGTTTCCGTATACAGTTGAACTCTGTATATTGAACTGTATTATATGAGTTGAACTGCCTTATTTTGAACTGCATTATATGAGTCTGGACTGCCCTATAATACAGTTTCCATATACATTGAACTGCATTGTATGAATCTGGACAGCCATATAATAGAGTTTCCATATACAGTTGAACTCTGTATATTGAACTGTATTATATGAGTCTGGACTGCCCTATAATGCAGTTTCCATATACAGTTGCATTGAACTGCATTATATGAGTCTGAACTGCCGTATAATAGAATTTCCATACACAGCCGAACTCTGTATATGGAACTGCATTATATGAGTTGAACTGCCCTATAATGTAGTTTCCATATACAGCTGAACTGCATTATATGAGTCTGGACTGCCATATAATAGTTTCCATATACAGTTGAACTGCATTATATGAGTCTGGACTGCCATATAATAGTTTCCATATACAGTTGAACTCTGTATATTGAACTGCATTATATGAGTTGAACTGCCCTATAATGCAGTTTCCATATACAGTTGCATTGAACTGCATTGTTTGAGCCTGGACAGCCTTATAATAGAGTTTCCATATACAGTTGAACCATATACAGTTGAATATGAATTGAACTGCCCTATAATGCAGTTTCCATATACAGTTGAACTGCATTATATGAGTCTGGACTGCCATATAATAGTTTCCACATACAGTTGAACTCTGTATGTTGAACTGCATTATATGAGATATTTTGAACTGCATTATATGAGTCTGGACTGCCCTATAATGCAGTTTCCATATACAGTTGAACTCTTTATATTGAACTGTATTATATTGAACTGCATTATGTAAGTCTGGACTGTCATATAATAATATAGTTTCCATATACAGTTGAACTGCATTATATGAGTCTGGACTGCCATATAATACAGTTTCCATATACAGTTGAACTGCATTATATGAGTTGAACTGCAATATATTGAATGCAATTTCCATATACAGTTGAACTGTATTGAGCTGCCTTATATGAATCTGGACGGCCATAGAATGTAGTTCAATGCAGTTGAACTGTATGAGTCTACACTGCCGGGTAATGCAGTTCAATGCGCTTAAACTCCCTTCGGGTAGACGGGGCCAGGAAGAAAGGCCCTGGACGAGGAGCCACCGCGAAGGCCAACGGGGTCCGGTGTGCTCCTCGCTCGGGAAGAGGCAGGTGCAATAATCTGAATTATTAATCCCTTAATCTTTTTTGCATCTGTTGCCTGTTAATACTCTGTAATGCGAGTTATCAAAGGTGCGCTGAATTATTCAGCAACGAGGTGCGGGAGAAATTGCCTGCCGGTAACTTTAGAGGCAACATCTGCAAAAGGGGACCCGGACCAAAGGGAGAAAACAAACCGAGGGGAGAAAGAGAGAGACAGAGACAGAGAGAGAGAGAGGCCACTCATTCACCCCGTTCGAAACAACAACAGAAACAAAAAAAACCCCTAAATCCCGTCTTCTCCACCGATTTCCGACAAATTGGGGAAGCGACGTGGGCATGAAGGGAGAAGGCAAGGAGGGCAGGCGCTTTGCAATGCGGTGGTGCCTCCGCGCCGGGAAGGGAGGCAGTGACAAGAGCGATTGGCGAGGAGGCTCGGGATCGATCGCAGGGCAAGGAGAGTTTCCACGGCGCTCAGAGCCAATAAGTCAGTGTCACAAACACACACAGAGAGGGGAGGGCGTCGGGGAGAGGGAAGGGGTGTACAAAAACACAAACAGATCGTTTTTCAGGAAGCGGGGCTTCCCTTTCTCCCCTCCGCCGCGGGAAAAACCCGGGATCGCCCCGCTTGCCGCTTTCCCCTCGCCGTTTCCCAGTCTCTCCAGTTTCACTGCAGCATTCCCTCCCAAAGGGCTCATCCCTTGTGTCCCTCTTAGCAGGCTTCACTTCGGGCCAGGCTTGTTATTATTATCTTCATCATCACCGTAAGAAATATATGGAACTGCTCCACGATCCGTTCAAACCGCCTCAGCTTGCCAATCCCGAACCTCCTCTTTCCCCTCCAGTATTTTTATTTATTCCTCCAGAAATATTTCTAATGTCATCAGTCCCTTCCTTGAGGTCTGTCCGAACAGATTATTTTCATTATTTTGTATTAAAGGCGGCTTAATCCAACGAAAACAAAAGCCACCGACCGAGTGGAGCTTGACAATTGAGATTTCTTCCTTCCCTGCTTCAAAACGACTCCGTAGAAAGACATAACCTAACAGAAAGCGAAGGGAAAATGTCACGGAGAGACATCCCCACGCAAAATATATCACCCCTTTCCACGCAGCTGAATAAAATCCCACATTTTCTGCTTCGAACTGGAATATATGGCAGTGTGGACTCAGAAAACGCAGTTCAAAGCAGATCTTATGGGATTTTCTGCCTCGATATTCTGGGTTATGTTTATATATGGCTGCGTGGGCTATCTGAGTCCACATTGCCGTCTATTCCAGTTCAAATCAGATATTGTGTGACTTTCTGCCTCAATATTCTGGGTTATATTTATATATGGCTGCGTGGGCTTTCTGAGTCCACATTGCTATATACCCCAGTTCAGACCTTGTGGGATTTTCTGCCTCGATATTCTGGGTTATATTTATATATGGTTGCGTGGGCTGAGTCCACATTGCCATCTATTCCAGTTCAAATCAGATATTGTGTGACTTTCTGCCTCAATATTCTGGCCTATATTTATATATGGCTGCGTGGGCTTTCTGCGTCCACATTGCCATATATCCCAGTTCAGATCTTGTGGGATTTTCTGCCTCAATATTCTGGGTTATATTTATATATGGCTGCGTGGGCTGAGTCCACATTGCCATATATCCCAGTTTAAATCAGATATTGTGGGATTTTCTGCCATGATATTCTGGGTTATATGGCTGTGTGGAAGGGCCCTGATTTTGTTAATTGTTTGTAACTTTATTCAGAAGTCCAAGTTTATTTTTTCACGGTAAAGGGTGGGGTTGGGTGGTTATTGGACTCGAGCAATCCCATAGAAATGAATAGGACTACGCCAGTGTAGTAAACTTGGGGATTAGCGAGGCCTCATCATGTAGTTTCTTAAGTTTGACTGCATCGAACTGGGTTTCTTCTTCCATGCTAAAATTCACTTTACTGTCTGTATAAAAATAGGTGTATCTTACCTATACGTTGTCGAAGGCTTTCACCGACCAGAATCACTGGGGGCCCATCCACACAGTCCTATATCCCAGAATATCACGGCGGGAAATCCCACATTATCTGAGTGTGGACCCAGAGCCCTTCCACACAGCCCTATAGCCCAGATTGTCAAGGTAGGAAATCCCACATTATCTGAGTGTGGAGTCAGGTAACCCAGCTCAAAGCAGATATTGTGGGATTTTCTGCCTTGATATTCTGGGATATAGGACTGTGGGGAAGGGCCCTATGTCAACACTGCCATATACCCCACTTCAAAGCAGATAATGTGGGATTTTAGTCAGTTGTGTGGAAGGGACCTGGGATGTGGTGGTGGTTTGCGGCCTGTATCCAGCAGCATTTATCCCTGACCTTTCGCCAGCATTTTCATAGGATCTCTTCCCTATTTTTGTTAGTTGGTGGTGCGACTGAAATTTGGATGAAATTTGTTCAAGTAGATGGGACCTTAGGGCCCTTCCACACAGTCATATAAACCCAGAATATCATGGCAGGAAATCCCGCAATATCTGCTTTGAACTGGAAGATATGGCAGTGTGGACGCAGGGCCCTTCCACACAGCCCTATATCCCAGAAAATCAAAGCTGAAAATCTCACAATATCTGCTTTGAACCGGAAGATATGGTAGTGTGGACCCAGGGCTCTTCTACACAGCCCTATATCCCAGAAAATCAAAGCAGAAAATCCCACAATATCTGATTTGAACTGGGTCATCTGAGTCCACACTCAGATAATGTTCGATTTCCTGCCTTGATGTTCTGGGATATAGAGCTGTGTGGAAGGGCCCTGAGTCCACACTCAGATAATGAGGGATTTCCTTCCTTGATATTCTGAGATATAGGACGGTGTGGAAGGGCCCTGAGTCCACACTCAGATATTGTGGCATTTCCTGCCTTGATATTCTGAGCTGTGTGGAAGGGCCCTGAGTTCATACTCGGATATTGTGGCATTTCTTGCCTTGATATTCTGAGTTGTGTGGAAGGGCCCTGAGTCCACACTCAGATATTGTGGCATTTCCTTCCTTGATATTCTGACATATAGGGTTGTGTGGAAGGGCCCTGAGTCCGCACTCAGACAATGTGGCATTTCCTGCCTTGATATTCTGAGTTGTTTGGAAGAGCCCTGAGTCCACACGCAGATATTGTGGCATTTCCTGCCTTGACATTCTGGGCTATAGGTCTGTGTGGCAGGGCCCTGAGTCTCAGCCGGAGGAAAAGCATGAGAGAATGGGCAGCAAAGCGAGCGAGGGAGGGGGGAGGAAGCCTGGGGTTGGAGGCCCCCTCTGTCCCCAATCTGGGGGTCCCCTACTCCCCCTGAACCTCCCCGACTAATGCCTGCCTCTCTCCCCCCTCCCCGCCCCGTCCCGTGTGCGTGGGTGCTTGTGTTTCCGTTCTCTCTCCCCAGCAGGGCACGGGGGTGTCAACCAGCTCGGGGGGGTCTTCGTGAACGGCAGGCCCCTTCCCGACGTGGTGAGGCAGCGCATCGTGGAGCTGGCGCACCAGGGGGTCCGGCCCTGCGACATCTCCCGCCAGCTGCGGGTCAGCCACGGCTGCGTGAGCAAGATCCTGGGCAGGTGAGCCTCGGGCGGGGCGGGTGGGGGCATGAGACTCGGGATTGCGGGGCTGTGGGGGGGGGGGCGTGGGGTCAGGCAGGCTCCGAGCCCGAGAGACAGAGAGAGAGAGAGGCCGAGGGAGCCACCCAGCCAACCCGCCTCCTTTTCCTTTCTTTTGTCTGGCGCTATCTGAAAACAGGGACCTGCTGTGGGTTCGGAAAGAGGGGGAGAGCCCACACCAGCAAAGAAACAAACCGATTGCAACCCCATTTGCTGTGAGACCCGCCGGCAAGTCTCCCCTCCCCGCCTCCCAGCTCAGCCAGGCCGGGCCCTACTTTCTCTCCAGCCCCAGGTCAGCGGGAAGCGGCAGGCCGGGGCCTTTTTTGCTTGTGTGCCCATTGAAGGAGGTCGGGCCCTCGGCAGAGCTTGGCTCCGGTGGGGAGTGGGAGACGAGGCAGCCCCGCCCCCCGATGCATGCCGTGGGAGGGGGAGCGAAAGGGAGGGGGGCGTCCCTCTCAAATCCGTGGATTGCAACGCCCGCAATCCGTGGCAATCCCTCCCCGTCCCTTCCCCGGACGGAACTCCATTGCCCGGGGAAGGAGACACTCGAGAGCGAGGAAAAAGATGTGGGCCTAGCTTGGGAGGGCATTTGCATGACATCCAGAGGGTGACAAGAAATGTGTCAGCTGTAGATTGCATGATATTGAAGAGCATTGAGCTGTTGTTACCATCCCCTCCTTAGTTTTCCTTACCCGAGATGTTCCAAAAGTACTACCAATCCCATTCTCCACGCGCACCCACTTGGGGAATCTTAGGGGTGGGCTCCACGCGGGCGGAGGGGCTTCCGTAGCTTTCCCCGCGCGCGTGAACTTCTCGAGCCCCTCTCTGAGCCTCTCTCTCTTTGCCGCCTTCTCCTTCTCCTTCTTCCCCTCGTGGGCCAGGTACTACGAGACGGGGAGCATCAAGCCCGGCGTGATCGGCGGCTCCAAGCCCAAAGTGGCCACCCCCAAAGTGGTGGACAAGATCGCCGAGTACAAGAGGCAGAACCCCACCATGTTCGCCTGGGAGATCCGCGACCGGCTACTGGCCGAAGGCATCTGCGACAACGACACCGTCCCCAGCGTGTCCTCCATCAACAGGTAAGGCCACAGACTCCTTTCCTGTCCTCCCACAAAGTCCCCCAAGAAAGAGGCCTCTCCAAAGGTCGGGAAACACACACACAAGGCGCCTCTCCTCAACCGACTTGGTCATAATCCCCAAAGCCATCGCCCCGACGCCTCCTCTCCCACCCAAAACAAACAAAACAAACGTCCGGCTCCCATTCGCCTCCGGACATGGCCAGACTGATTGTAGGGAGAGGACAACTTCTTGGCCTCTCTTGAATTTACCACACTGAGAAAGATGTTTCACTTTTGATTGCTCATGCTGGTTATTCACACTAGAGAAACTTAAAATGCGGTTTCTGCCTCCTGCAGAATTTTTGTATTTGTAGTTTAATAGTCTCACTAAACTACAAACTCCAGAATTCTGCAGGAGGCAGAAACCGCATTTTAAGTGGATTTTTTTCTCTAGTGTGATGAAGTTTTTTGTGTGTACGTGTGTCAGTTGCTTCTGGTGTGAGAGAATTGGCTGTCTGCAAGGACGCTGCCCAAGGGACGCCCAGATATTTTGATGTTTTGCCATCCTTGTGACAGGCTTCTCTCATGTCCCCACACGGGGAGCTGGAGCTGACAGGGGGAGTTCATCCATGCTCCCCCGGATTTGAACCTCCAATCTGTTGGCTGTCTGTAAGGACATTGCCCAGGGAAGACCGGATGTTTTGATGTCTTACCATCCTTGTGGGAGGCTTCTCTCATGTCCCCACATGAGGAGCTGGAGCTGAAAGGGTTAGCTCATCCACGCTCCCCTGGATTTGAACCTCCAATCTGTTGGCTGTCTGTAAGGACATTGCCTGGGGATGCCCGGATGTTTTGATGTTTTACCCTCCTTGTGGCAGGCTTCTCTCATGTCCCCACATGGGGAGCTGGAGCTGACAGAGGGAACTCATCTGTGCTGTCCTGGTTTTGAACCTCCAACCTTTTGGCTGTCCACAAGGATGTTGCCCAAGGGACACCCAGATGTTTTGATGTTTTACCATCCTTGTGGGAGGCTTCTCTCATGTCCCCACACGAGGAGCTGGAGCTGACAGAGGGAGCTCATCCGTACTCTCCCGGATTGAAACCTCTGTCGGCATAAGGGTTTAACCCACTGCGCCACTGGGTGTTCCCATTGCTCTTAGTAAAACCTCAAAACATCCCAGCGTCCCCTGGGCAACTCCTTGCAGCCGGCCAATTCTCTCACAGCAAAAATGACTTGCAGTTTTTCAAGTCTCTCCTGACACACACATACAGCATTGTTATTTGCCATTCAGCTTGTAAAGAGGAAGTGCTCCTAGATCTCACCATCCCACCATTCAAAGACCAAATGGTTATTTGTCTCCAGCAAATAGAGCCCACCTACTCGCCCCTTTGCTGCTTCTTCCAAGGAGATATCCTTCTTTGCACTCAAAGCAATGCTTCTTGGGGAAACAGACAACTATGAAAGGGATATTATTATTTTTCTCAGTTGACGGGTCACAAAGGAGCATGCCTTTTCCTCTCTTTGTTAGTGTGTCGGCAGTGATTTCTCTCTTTTTCATTATCAAGATTTTACTATTTTGTATGCCTTGTGTACCCTTCTTCCCTCCTTCTGTTTCTTCCCAAGTTTCTGGATCCAAGAGCCCTTCCAGATGGGCCCTATATCCCAGGATCTGATACCTGGTTTTCTGTTTTAAACTGGATTATGTGAGTCTGGACTGCCAGATAATCTGGCATAAACAGAAAAACTTGGATCAGATCCTGGGATATAGGGATTGTCTGGAAGGCAGCCCTGAAAGAACATTTGGGGCAGAACAGGACAGTCCCCCATTTGTGTGCTATACACAAAGTTTTGAAGAAAAATGCTAGCGTTTGTTTTGTTTCTTCTCAAATTTCTGGGTATTTGGAGTCCAAATACGTGTTCTGAAATAACACATCTTTGAGACAGCCCTGAAATCAGGGGCAAAATAGTAGTGCCGAAAAGTGCATCAGTGTATGTGCTGCACAGAAATATTTCAAGTAAAATACTAAGATTCCTTTTGTTTCTTCCCAAGTTTCTGGGTAAATGGAGTTCAAATATGCGTCCTGAAGTAAATCACAGTGTGATGTTAGTGTGTCTTTGAAGGCAGCCCTGAATTCAGGGGGCAAAATAGGACATTGCCAGAAAAGTGCATCAGTGTATGTGCTGTACAAAAATATTTTAAGTAAAACACTAGAATTCTTTTTGTTTCTTCCCAAGTTTTGGAGTATATGGAGTTCAAATATGTGTCCTGAAGTAAATCACAGTTTGATATTAGAGTGTCTTTGAAGGCAGCTCTGAATTCAGGGGGCAAAATAGGACAGTACCAGAAAAGTGCATCAGTGTATGTGCTATACAAAAATATTTGGGAGCTACAGTGGCACAATGGGTTAAACTCTTGCGCCAGCTGAACTGCTGACCTGAAGGTTGATGTATTGTTGAAGGCTTTCATGGCCAGAATCACTGGGTTGTTGTAGTTTTTTTTTTTTAGCTATATGGCCATGTTCTAGAAGCATTCTCTCCTGACGTTTTGCCTGCCTCTATGGCAGGCATCCTCAGAGGTTGTGAGGTCTGAGGATCGTAGATGCAGGTGAAACGTCAGGAGAGAATGCTTCTAGAAGAGGTGTTCTCAAACTAAGGCCCGGGGGCCGCATACGGCCCTCCAAGGTCATTTACCCGGCCCTCACTCAGGGTCAACCTAAGTCTGAAATGACTTGAAAACACACAACAATAACAATAATCCTATCTCACCAGCCAAAAGCAGGCCCACACTTCCCATTGAAATACTAATAAGTTTATATTTGTTAAAATTGTTCTTCATTTTAATTATTGTATTGTTTTAAGTGGTTTTTGAACTACAAATAAGATATGTGCAGTGTGCATAGGAATTCATTCATGTTTTTTTCAAATTATAATCCAGCCCTCCAACAGTTTGAGGGACGGTGACCTGGCTCTCCATTTAAAAAAGTTTGTGGACCCCTTTTCTAGAACATGGCGATATAGCCCGAAAAAACTTCAACAACCCAGAGAAGGTTGATGGTTTGAATCCATGAGATGGGGTGAGCTCCTGTCTGTCAGCTCCAGTTCCCATGTGGGGACATAAGAGAAGACTCTCACTGGATGGTAGCACATCCGGACGTCTCCTGGGCAACATCTCTGCAGACGGCTCATTCTCTCACACCAGAAGTGACTTGCAATTTCTCAAGTCACTTCTGACAGGCTTTAAAAAAATATTTCAAGTAAAATGCTTGTGTTATACACAGATTTGTAGTCTATATCCCCCATAATGCCTGGATAGACATTTCCCTTGTTTCTCTTTCTCTCAAACTTATATATCACCGTTGTAAAATGATGTGCCTGTGTTGAGACAACAGAGTCCGAATCATCCTGATAGAAGCTCTGTGAAAATCCAGTTCTGGGAGGGGAGTTTGCATACTCACAATAGGCAGGAATAAAACAGAAGCAGACATTGTGGTCTGAAAGTGAAAGATGCCCCTATTCGTTGTGCTAATGTAGAAAAATAAAGGTCCTGTGAGGTGATTCGGCAATTGTGCTTTGGGGAGATCCACAATTAGTTGTGCTAAACGGCATCTAGCTGAGATGTATAATACAAGCACATTAACATTTTCGTTGTCACCAATCATCACTACAAACATGCAGGGTGTGATTTATGCAGAATTTAAAATTTATTAATTTTTAACCTAGCTTGGCAGCTGCGTGCTTATCCAAGAACTCGTGCAAAAACAACGTTATAGGTATCTGCATGGGTATATTTGGGGATAAACCAACGAAGGTACACATGTGTTTCCTGCTCTAAATTGCAGGATAGGGCAGCTGCTGTTAAGTATTAAAGATTATGGAGGGAAAAAAGTATTATAGAATGTGGCCCCACAGAGACACTTGTATCCAGATGGACATAACTGCCTCTGCTATCTATCTCTACAGCTGCTTGGCTAAATAGTTAATCATGCAATACATACGAATTTGAGTCTTAAAAATACAGAAGCGATTTACGTCATCAAGGAACAGAACAATGCTTTGTTTTGATTCATGTGGTTGCCGTAGATGGTTTTTCAAAAAATGTATTTAAAAAAAAAATGATGTTGAAAATGACACAAAATTATCCAAAATGATGTCAAAACTGTAAGTCAAATTAGCTGGGAGAATGTACCTTGGCTTCAAAGAGATCCTCCCCACACACAGTCTCTCTGCAATCCACTACTAGGCTATTGCAGGAAATTATCCTTCTGTGGGCCATCTGTATTAAAATGGTTATTAGGTTATGAACAGACTAACATAATACTGATTAGTTAATTAGACAACTTCCCAAAAAAATGCAGCAACAACACCCAAATTCTACTGCCTCAGCTAGGTATTAAAGTAATAATGGTTTGACATTAGGGCGTCTTTGAATGCAGCTCTGGATGAACAGTCAAGGGACAGAATAGGACAGTGCATCAATTGGTTTAATTTAGGACTTGTGAAAGAACAGGATGTTCCTCCTGAATGCAGCAAAGCCTCCTTGGCTGGTGCAGAAAGGCTGCAAGGCATCACCGGGTATCCTTTCGAGCTGGGGGGCTGTCATTGTCTGTAGGGAAGAATCATACAATCTATATTGCAGTCAGGATTTGTGCACACATTTCTGTCCACGTTGATGGGTTGCATGAGGATTTTGCAAGCCATATGCATGTGTTAAAAACGGTGTCTAGTACAATATGCAGAATTCCGTTCCTTAGACAGAGCGATGCCTCTGAAATCCTATGTTTGCAGTATTAAATTCTGTGTTTGTAGTATTTGTATCCATGGGTGCAATATTTATGCAGTGTGTTGTCAAAGGCTTCCAAGGCTGTGAGTTCTCCAGGGTTCTGGAACATAGCCATACAGCCCGGAAAACTCACAGCAACTGATATATGCAGTATTCTCCTATTACTGGTTTTCTAATCAGTACTATAATATATTAACCTTAGTTGTTGTATTAAGGTCCTTGTTTTGAGAACTTTAAAAT